AGTTTTGAGAATGATGAGGGCAATGAATGTAAAAATGTGCTTTACACAATTGATGTATGTATGGATCGTGTGATAAGAGTTGTATGAGTCCCTAATAAAATGATTTAAAAAAAGAAAAAGACAACCAAAAAAAAAATCGAGTGACACACTGCATTGGGCAAATCTACTGCAAAACACCTCTTTAGAATATTGAAAAGCAGGGAGGTTATTTTGAGGACTAAAGTGTGCCTAACCCAAGCCATGGTATTTTCAATTGCAACAAACACATGCGAAAGTTCAAAATTGAATAAAAAAGACCAAAGAAGATTGATGTGTTTTAATTAAGGTGCCGGTGAATAATATTAAAAGTACCATGCACTGCCCAAAGAGGAAAAATTCTGTCTTGGAAGAAGTAGAGCCAGAATGCTCCTGAGAGGCAAGAATGTTGAGACTTTATCTCATGTGCTTTGGACATGTGTTCAGGAGAGCCCAATCCCTGGAGGACATCACACTTGGGAAAGCAGAGGGTCAGTGAAAGAGGGGATGGGAGTACATGGTCACTAACTGAGTGCTTGGGAGACAGGAGTATAGAAGATCGAATGCCTAAATCTGACCTGAACAGTTAAAATGTTGCCAGTAGATCCCCCCTATGATGCAGGCTGGACCTGACCTGATTTCCAAAATTTTCTGTATTTTGGGTTTGTATTGTTTGATTTGGTTTATATCCATTTGTAATAGAGTGTATCTCACAGGTGTTATTTCTGTGGAGGTCACCCTCTTGAAGCTGTGTTATATGCTTTTTTGGTTTTCGGTATATGAAATCCAGAATTGATGAACCTGTAGGGACAGCAAGTAGAATAATGGGTTCACCGGGCGGCAGTACCGTTATGGGGGTGGGGCTAGATGGGAGACGATGACAAGGAGAAAAAGAACGGTTGGAAACTGATTGTGGTAGCAATTGTACAATTCTACTTGACATAACGGAAATATGGAATGCTATGCTACATGTATTAAATCCCAACTAATTTTTTTTTAAAGGAAAGAAAGAAAAGAAAAAGAGGAAGGCACCTGTGTTAGTCCTGGAACTTTAGAGAAACAAATCCACAGAAACTCATGTATAAGAGAGAGTTTTATATAAAGGTTAAGTGCACATCAAGAAAACATCCCAACCCAGTGATGCCCAAGCCCACAAGTCCAACATTAACCCATATGTCCAACACCAATCCATTCAGACAGCCAACATATACAGGAAAAGATGCTCACAATTATCCATTAGCAAAAAGGCACTTTCACTGTTGATTCTAACTCATAGCAACCCTACAGGAGAGAATAGAAATGACCTCATAGGTTTCCCAAACTGTAACTCTTTATGGGAGTAGAAAGCCTGGTCTTTCTCCTGGGCAGCAGCTGGTGGTTTTGAACTGCTGACCTTGTGGTTAGTAGTCTGATGCAGAACCTAAAACACCACCACACCAGGACTCCTAGATTTCAGAGATGCAAATAAAAACTATGATGAAATGCCATCTCACATCTGCAAAATGGTAGTAATAATAATAATAAAGAACAATAAATGCTGGTAAGCGCTGAGGGGAAAATATCTATTGGAACTCATATATTGCTGGTGGTGTTGTGAATGGTTCAACCACTTTGGAAAATAGTATAATTATTTTTCAAAAGGCTAGAAATAAAAATGTCTTGTGATCCTGTAATCTCAATCCTAGGTATACATTGTAGGTATTTAAGAGGAGTGCCACTAATACACATATGCATATCTATATTCATTACTTCATGATTCTCAATAGCAGAAGGGCAAACAACCTAAGTACCTCTCAGTGGATAAGCAACTCTGACACATACGTACAATGAACTATTCTCCAATCACAGAATGGGTCTACAAAACAGTTTTCAACTTTTGATAAAAGTAATATCTAAAGGACATTACTTCTAAGTAAAATAGTAATAAAAGTTAAATATTATCCAGCCCCACTATTATACCAATAATACATGTATATGGTAAAATTAAGTCCTTTGATGGTTACCAAGATTGGAAGGAGAATCAGTTTCCAGATAGTAGACTTTTGTTAATCTCTATGATAGAAAGACTAAACATAGTGAAGTCAAATAATTTAACCAAAATAAATAAAGACACTAAGAAGCATACCACAAAAGGGAAGAATTTGGCAATATATAATTTTCTAACATTAAAGACAACCAAAAATGTGTGTGCAGTTATGTGGGAATATATGGGTGCACATAAGGGGGGGTTTCCAAAGGTTCATGGTCTTTAAAATTCCATTTCCATGAACTTTTGGAAGCCTCTCTCCTATGTGCACAGATAATCATATATAATAAAATACATGTGCATATATACATTTGTAGATATTTGTGTATCTACAAGTAGATATAACTGTATGAGTTGTATCCACTCATGTATTGGATTAGAAAGTTTTGGACCATAATCTCGGGGTACAATTTAGTTAATTGCCATTAAACAGTTCACAAAGTTAATGTTCTACATCCTAGATTGGGCAGTATCAGCTGCGGTTGTCCAGGCTTGGGAGCAGACATCTAGAATAAAACTATTCGCTTCTGCTTGTATAGAGCCAAAGAGAGTACAGACTTAAAGACGAAACTGATCCACGGGTTGAGTAATAACCGACACCACCTACTGCCTTCCCTAACCACAGACCAGAAGAACTGACTGATACCCACGTCTCAGGTTCTAACCAGGGACACAACAGAAAGTCTGGGACGGGCTGGGAGAAAATGTGGAACAAAACTTGAATTCCTAAAGGTCAAATTTGTTGGACTAAAGGAGACTACAGGAGCTCTGGAGATTACTGCTGTAAAATCAGCTTTGAATTTGGATTTGAAGCCATTTCTATAAATCACCTTTCAGCCAAATAACAGATGGGTTCATAAAAAGTATCAACTGTGAGTAATGTGTTCCCTTAAACATGAGAACAGTCAACACTTATTCAAAAACAGAGATGTGAAGGCAGGCAGAGAAGGGAAGCACGATAAATGGAAACCGAGCAAACGAAAGAGAGAGAATGAAAATCCTGACAAATTGCAACCAACAGCACAAGACAGTTTGTGTAAAAACAGGAGACACTAATTTGCTGTTATTTCCCCCCTAGAACACAATGAAGTATGTTTTTTAATGGTGGTGGTGGTGGTAGGTACTGATTCAACTCATCACAACTCTATCTACAACAATAGGGCACTACCAGGTTCTGTGCCGTGTGCTTACAGTGGATATATTTCAGTCCATCGTTGCAGCCAGTGTTTCCATCCCTTTGTCTTTGTTGTTTTTCAGAGACTGCACTCTCTTTATACCACATCCAAAGCGCATGAGACAAAGTCTCAGTGGTTGAGACATATTCTAGTTATGCTTCTCCTAAGACTTGTTGGCTCTTCGGGTAGCCTACAGTCCTTCCAGCACTCTTCAGTGCTTCTGTGGCCTCCCTTATTCAGCGTGCAACTATCGCAGGCACAGGAAGCCACTGAGAATACCATTGGTTGGGTCAAGCACACCTTAGTCCTCAAAGTGACACCTCAATACGCCATTTGGTTTCTAAATTGCTGTTTCTAAGAGCATGTGTTTCGGATCCAATCAAAATTGTGAATACATGCCAGAGCCTTTCATTTTGTAATCATGCAGAAAGTTTTTGTCGAGGAACTAAACTAGAGGAGAAAGTGTCCAGGATGAGGCCTGAAGGAGGAGGTTTAAGAAAGAGAGAGCGAGAAGAGAATCAATGACCAGCCGGCCAAACACTTCTTGGCATATGGATCCTGCAGGTCCACAGGTGCCCATGGACTTACGAGCTCCTGAGCACAGAGAGACACACAGATGTATTCAGTACATTCTCCTTTCGGAGACCTCCATCACGAGCTCCACGAATATGAGAATTTGTCCCACCATTATAAATTCTCTCTAATTTAGGGAAAATTTTCAGGAACACAGTTATGGTTGCTTCATAAAGAAGGAAAAATTAAAACATATTGAGGGTAAAGAATGCAATCCACTTTTTGGATAAGAAATATTCAAGATTCAGTTAAAATTAATTTTAAATAATTATGATTTAAATTCAATCTTTACAATTTCATTTCAAGAAAATAGGGCACATTAAATGGGATGTTCTTTTTTAATGAAGAACTTGAAACTGACAATTTTATTTATTTTTCATTTTTTTCTTGCTGCCTAAGTTGTTCAAACTTACTGCTATGATAGTAACTCATTTTTCTTTGCTCATTTCTGTTGGTCCTTGGTGTATGTTCTGGGTTGCTGTCTGTTACTCTGTAGTGGAGCGAAAGGAGCCGAGAGGCTTTTTTTCAACCCCAATGTAGCCACTGGATTATACAGGAAAACTGGAATGTTCTTGGGGGCTCAGAGTGTCACCAAGCGGCATGGCCAAATTTATGGTTATCTGTTTCTCCCTGAGTCCTATATGTGCCGAGATGCAGTTCTAACTATTTATGAAGAAATCTAATCTTCACTAACATTTAAACTTTATACTATGAGTCTCTTCTGTAAAGGCAGTTTTGGATCAGAGAATGTGGCTAATATTCATGCCACCAACATATTCTGTCATATAATAGGCATGTCTTTTTTCCCCATTAGGCACACAGAATATTTTCAAAATTTTAATTTAAAGATTGAAGGTGTGTGTGTGTGTGTGTGTGTGTGTGTGAGAGAGAGAGAGAGAGAGAGAGAGAGAGAGAGAGACAGAGAGAGCCTGTGCGTACGTGCACACACACCAGTGAGGAAAGATCGGAGGAACCTAATCTTGTCATACTAGAACCACCAGAATGCCAAAAATGGGAGGGGAGAGTTGAATGAAAAGTAAAACATACCAACAAAGGGACTTTGCTATATTAACATTCAAATTATTTGTGAATGACAGCTATCATTTCATTCCATGTGTAAGCAAATCTATTTAACACATACACACACACACACACACACACACACACACACACACACACAATGAACTTGCCAGCTGCTTATTGCGTAGGTGTAATGGAGGTTCTCTTGGCTTTCAGTAAGGTAGGGGTGGACAGGTGACAGAAATAATTTGGGTGTAGGGAAACCTGTAAATAAAATGAGTTTATGTATGTTATTATGAGTGTGTGCAAGACACGGACATGTATGTGCTTTATCTAAAAGGAGATTATGTAAATTACTTTGAGAGTTGAGGACTAATTTTTTTTTTTTTTAGGATAAGACCTGAGAGATTTTCATTGCACTAGAAGACACACAAAATTTATTTAAGGAATCTTTCTTTACAAATAATTCCTTATTTATTATTGGGGGTGGGGTGGCGGCTATTTATTGGTCTATTTTGCTCATCCTATCCAACTCCCCTTTAGATTATTACCAACCCTTTACCACAACTGCTCGAGGGCTTCTCAGTGTAGCTGGAATAAAACTCAGTTTTCCTAACATGTCCCACAATGTCTTGCCTGCCTCTCCCGATCACCATCCAAGGTCCTTTTCTATTTTTCCTAGCTCTTCAAAACCTCCTTGTCTTCACTTGTCCTTTCCGTCTACAAGTCCTCAGTCGAGAGTCAGCCTTCTGCATGAGGCCTTCCTTGGCTAGTATAAATTGCATCAATTCCTATCCCCTTTCCTTAGTGTGTGTGTAAGATATATGCATATAGCTTACTTGTAAGTAAGCAAGGGCTTACGTGTGTTTCTCCTGGTGAATGTGAACTTCACAAGGCCTTGCATTGCTGGTGACCACAACAGTCACTGGCATATAAAAGACATTTAATAAATAATGAAACATCATCTCTTCAAGAGGTCTTCTCAATCTCAAATAACATCACCCATCGGTCTCACAGTGATTTTCTTTCTTTCTTTTAAAAAATAACTCATTTTATTTGGGACTCTTACAGCTCTTATAACATTCCATACATCAATTGTATCAAGCACATTCACTGACAGTCGTTTTCTATCATATTACAGCAATTGTTTCACATATATTCTTTGTCCCTATCTGAAATCATTTTTTCATTTTATTTACATGAATAAAGCCTCATGGGAGCTAGAACCCTGATGTTTTTCTCTCTCCTAGAGCCCTCGAAATTAGGACAATGCTTGGGGACTCAGAATAGAGACTTTTTGTTTAGTTTTTATTTACATGAATATTCTTATATAAATACTATATCACTGTTGAAATGCTAAATCAGTAAATTTGTGTTCATTGCCATCAGCAGTACCTGAACACTTCTTTCACCCAGCCCATGACCTTTATATAATTTTGACAGGTATTTTAACTTTCTTAAAATTAATGAAGATAAATGTTTTTTCATGTTGGTTAGCTCTTTATATTTTTTATGACTTGTCCATTTTTCAATATGCGCATTCTGTTTATTGATGTGTGTGCATGTGTGTGTGCTTGTGCACACGCATGTGCGTGGTATGTATGTACAGGTGTCTTCCAGTGTCAGTTCCAACTCACGGCAACTATAGATACAACAGGACAATCTTGGGGAGGGCCATCCTTTTCTTACTGATTCTTTACTTTACCACGCATGACATTACACAAGTCATGTTATAAATGCTCACTCATAAGTTGTCATTTGCTTTTAAATTTTGTTTGCTGTATGTTGACATGAAAGTTTTAGATGTTTCCTTAAATCTATGGGTGTATGTTTCTGATAATCTGATTTATCTCATAGATATTTTTATTTAGTGATTCATTTCCTGTTATAAGTTCAGAAAACCTTTTTTTCTGTAGTTTTTAAATTAAAATTTAACTTTTTAATCCAAATGAAATGTATTTTCATATGGTAAAATTATTATCATTATGTCTCTCTCTCTCTCTTTTAGATAATTTTCCTTCCCAGTTTATACTACTTTATAATATTCTAGGATCTTATATAGTGAGAAACTTTCCCCCATTTTTCATTATTACCTACTGAAAATGATATGACTTTGTCAAAATGAAAATGACTTTGTTCTGGATTACTTACAACAGCGGTTCTCAACCTTCCAAATGCCGCGACCCTTTTATACAGTTCCACATGTTGTGGTAAACCCCTAACCTTAAAATTGTTTTCATTACTACTTCTTAACTGTAATTTTGCTACTGTTATGAATCAGGCAATCTCTGTGAATGGGCTGTTCGACCCACAAAGGGGTCGCGACCCACTGTTTGAGAACCGCTGACCTACAAGAACTCATAATTCTACAACCTAGTATTTTTTGGTCAGTTTGAATTTTATTGGAACTTTTACATCACTCTTTGTAGCTACCCTGTTTCCCCGAAAGTAAGACATCCCTCAAAAATAAGACCTACTTACAGTTTTGCCTCTTGCTGAAATATAAGGCACCCCCCCAAAATAAGACCTCCCCGAAAATAAGGCCACCCGAAGCTACCTTAACTCTGGACTCTGGACTGTAGCAGCGGGCACCACCACGCAGCAGCACAGCTGGAGCAGACAAGAAGTGCAAGGTCTCTTTTAATAAAACAATAAATGTATATCGTATTCTTCTTCATGGAAAAATAAGATATCCCCTAAAAATAAGACCTAGCACATCTTTGGAAGCAAAAATTAATATAAGACACTGTCTTATTTTCGGGGAAACAGGGTAGCAGAACTGGAAGTCTGTGATAACATTTCACTCCCAACTCCTCATAGAGTAGTCTTCTACAATGACTAAATGCTATCTTCCCCCATGGGAGCTACTAACTCATTAAACAGCAATAGTACTTCCTACAAATACATATTTTATGAATCTTCAAATAGTATTTCAACATCATTTATTCTAATATGTTCTGCCAACTACTGCTTTTTCTTCTTTTCATTTTGAATATAATTCCATCTCATTCTTCTTCCTCAAAACTATTTGTTGAGTACTTACTCTTTGTTGTAATACATATGTAAATATGTGTATGCATGTATTTGTGTATGTTTGTGTGTGTGTATGTCCTTGGTGGTTGGATTGCCCTCTTACTCTTTGTTGTAATATATATGTAAATATGTGTATGCATGTATTTGTGTGTGTTTGTGTGTGTATATGTCCTTGGTGGTTGGATTGCCCTTGATATGAGGATTCATTAGTGAACAAAAGAGATAAAAATTTCTGCCTTTATGAAACTTATATTCTAGAAGGCTAAGCAGGTAATAAGACAAAAATAAAATGTATACTATAGATGGAAAGCTAAGGGGAAAGTTGAATTGGAAAGGAAGGTAGCAAGTGTTTGGGATATTGATGGCATTTAATTATAAATTATGTAACCAGAAAATAACTTTCTAATAAATTGCATTGAAATACATTAAACAAGTATTCTTAGTAGTAGAAGAGTTGGAGTCTAAAAAGCTCCAAAGTTCATTCAATATCATAAACAACCCATGAATCATGCTAGAATTACATTTATAATTGTCCTGACTTTCTTTGACTTAGATTCTCAAAGTAAGTCAATCAATAGAAATTTATTTCAGGGAAAGAGTAATTTTCATGTAGAAACTCGTTTCTGTGATGGACATATTTTAGGTATTGGTTATTTGAAATTAACAGGTTGCTTTTCTAGTAGAAAAAAGACACAAGAAAGATGAAAATAATTTACTACCTCCTGTCCTTCAAGGACATGCTGTGGTATACTAGCCTATGATGGGCATTAGATTAATGGAACTAGATTCTGGCTCCCCACCCTCCACTATTCCCAGACCTTGGGAAAGTTTCTTGACTTCTCAAGCCCTATCACCTTATTTTAGAATGGAGAATGGAGTGAATTCCCAGGTCCTGGGTTAGAGAGCTTATTATGCCTAACATACAGAATATGTTTTAAACATTTTGTGTTCTTGCTTTTTAACAGATTTTATTTAAAACGAAACAAAAAATAGATGAGTTATTAGGAATAAGGCTTTACCTAGTGATTCTCAAGAGCTCTGGGCCATTTGTGAGTGTGCTATTTCATTTCCATCTACAAGGTGCTTTTGGTATTAGCTATAGTATCTTCTAGGTACCAGGTAGATTTGGTCTCTATAAATATATATTTCAGACTTTCCCGCACAATAAACATCATCAACTAGTTGATTTCAACACATAGCAATCATACAGAACAGATTAGAACTACCTCATAAAGTCAAAAAAGGAAAGACACACTTGGCATTTCTCAACTTGGAAGACCTGAAGAAAATTCAATCACTGAGTTGCAATATTGAAGGATTCTATAGTGAAAAGAAGAAGACTGTGAGAAGCATTAGAAAATAGAAGAGCCATTGTACCAAAAACAATTGGTTGACATTTCAATCATTTCAGGAGGTAGCATATGACCAAGGATGGTTTGGAAAGGAGTCATCCCAGAGGCACTGAAGGCATTGGCAAAAAAACAGAACAAAAATTAAAAACAAGGCTCCAGGAAGTTTCAATAAACAGATGCAATCCTAGAAGCTGCCTAAGTGATTGTAAGCGACCCATACATAACGGGCTTTAAAAAGTTTGGAAAAATGTTGCTATCTTTTCATTGCATTTTTTCACAAAATTTTGAAGGCCTTTTGCACATGCCATGCCCAAATAAACGTGATCCCACAGAATGTGAGAATTATCCCCAAATATTATTATTATCACAAGTAAAATTTTACTGGTTAATTAAAAAATAATAACTATTATACGATGATAGGGAATTGTCAGGAATTCAAGAAAGATTCTTCAAAGAATGTGGAATGCAAGCTATCCTTGCTGATAGAAGATGCAAATTGATTGAAAGCAGAGAATAAGAGCCACTGTGTTAGTCTGGGTTGACTAGAGAAACAAATTCAGCGATACTCATATATGTGCAAGAAAGCGCTTTATATCAATAAATAATTACATATCGAGAAAACATCCCAGCCCAGTCCAACTCAAGTCCATAAGTCCAACACTAGTCCACAAGTCCCTCTTCAGACTTAGGCAGTCACATGCAATGATGCAGACTGCAGGAAGATCACAGACAGTGGGTACAAAGTCTCCTGGATCCAATGGCAGTGGTAACATCTCCAGGGCTCTGGCAGCAACCAGGGTCCATCAGCAGGAAAGAAGGCAGCAACCAAAGTTCATCAGAAGGCAGAGCGAGGTGGGGGGGAAGTTCCCAGGGCCCTCCTTATGAGAAGGCCATGCCCACAAGGAGGCACCACCAGGCTGTGACCTGATACCACCCCTACACTTTTATCTATTTTTAAGGTGACATGACATTATGTAACTATCACAATCACACAGATATTTTCATGTGCTTTATTGACCACACAAACTCATTTGATTGCGTGGATCATAATAATTATGGACAAAATTGTGAAGTAGGGGGATTTCAAAGCACTGAATTGTGCTCTTGCAGAACCTGTACATACACTGAGAGGCAGTTGTTCCAACACAACTAGGGAATGTTGCATATTTTAAAATTAGGAAAGGTATATATCGGGATTATATCGTTTCACCATGCTTATTCAACCTATGAGCTGACAAAGAGATCTGAGAAGCTGATCTAAAAGAAAAAGCACATGGTATGGGGTTTGAGGCAGACTTACTAACAAGCAACAACGCTGTAGAGGGTGAAAAGGGCTTGAAGCACTACTGAAGTCGAGCTAAGCCTATAGCCATCTTGAATTCCTTCCCTTTCAGCATAAAGAAAGCAAAAATCCTCACAGCTGGACCAGCAAGTAGCATCACGATAAATGGATAAAAGACTGAACTCATCAAGGTTGTGGTTTTACTTGGATACACAATATTTATGGAAGCAGAAGCCAAGAAATCAAACAATGTACAGTATTGCATTAGTTTACTCTGTTGCTAAAAAACTCTTTAGAGTATTCAGAAGCTTAGCTACTACTTTGAGAACTAAGGTGATCCTGATATTTTCAACTGCCTCATATGCCCACAAAATCAAGACAATGAATAAAGAAGATCCAAGAAAAACCAATGAATTTGAATTAGGGTGTTGGTAAATATTGGCAAGGGACCACAAATGTTTGAGGCAGAAGAGCCATACCTGTCGCACAATAGTTTAAAAATTATTCAAGAGCCATAGTATATTTTTACAAATGAGTGAAATCATCATCTGAATCTTATCCTTTAAATTTTTTTGTAAATGTAACTATGCTAGTTTTATTTTACTTTCACTTTTCCTCAGTGCCACATGTACTGAAAGAGCTGCATACGGCTTGAGAACCGTAGTTGGCCAAACCCCCAGATTAAACCATGGAGTACCGGAAGAATGACCACGTCTGTCATAGAATTAGTACAACCAGAATATTCCCTAGAAGCAAGCACAGAGACTTCCTCTTGTTTAGTTTGGATGTGTTATCTGGAGGACTTATTCTTAATGGACATATCCTGCTTGGTAAAGGTCAGTAAAAATGATGATTTCCACAAAATGGATTGATGGAATTGCTGCAGCAATGGGCCCTCAAATGTAAGCAGGAGCTGAGAGGGTGGTGTGGGCCTGGGCAGTGTTTTATTCTGTTGTGCCTGGTGTCTCTCGGAGTTTAAACTGAATCAACAGTCCCTGACGGCACTAACAACAGTATTTAAGGAAGTGAGACCTTTGTATTTCTCCCATGGAGTAACTGCTATGTTTGAACTGATGAATATTTGGTTTCCAGCAAGGGTTTAACACCTGTGTCCCCAGGGCTCCATGTGAGCTTATAAAAGATAAAAATCAGTGTTTTTCTTTGTAGGCAAAAATTTAAATGTACATGTACTTTATAAGAAATTGTGTTTCTGTGAGGAATGAGTCTATGCATGAAAGACAAATCTTTTTAAGTGATCTGAGATTTGATCAGGTCGCAAGGAGAAAATGTTCTGTGGATAACTCTATTAACTCATAAGTCATGAAGAATTATGATTTCTGGGCATGGCTAGCATATTTTCATTTCAAGATCATATTTATGAGTCTGAATGAGATATTTCACCACAGAGGGCCTATCCAGTAATGGTAATTCCTATGAATCAGATGATTTGGTTCTAAATCTGAGCGGACTGTTCAGCTCTGAACACTTCATCATCTGTGTCAGGGTTGCTTTTTTATGGTGATATTTTCATAATAAAAGTTAAAAATTATTTTCAAAACAAACTACATATTAGATGATAGCATTACAAATGTAAGTTCTATGTAACTCAAATTGTCCGCTTACATGCTGAATATCTAATTTTGTCTAGCCACTGGACTCTTGTCAAGTATGGATAACTGAAAGCTGATTCCACTTCTTGGTCTAGAAGAGCATAACCCAGAACATAGTATTCTAGATGTGGGTCTCTTCCACATTTGAAAAAATCTGAAATAAGTGTCAAATACAACCATATGAATGTTTCCCCTTGGGAAACTAAATTAAAAAGACTTCAACTTTTGAATGAAATTGGGCAGGAAATAGGAAACATCATCTATACTTGTTCCACCATGTTTCCACAGACCCTGGGCTCATGCATACAATAATGCACTATGTTTTGTACCTTTGAATATCTAAGATCGACTTTCAGCAAAACCAAACACCTCTTATTATTATTTTTCTAAATAATTAGAAGAACTGATTGCTTTGATCTGAAAATAAATTGAACCACTTAAAAACCAAGGTATTTTTTCTCATTTCCTTTTCTTCCTTACTATAATTCTTTCTAGGTACAAAGGGCGGTAAAACAACCAGATTTGCCGAGAGCTCAATGGAAGAGCATTTGGTCCCTGGTGAGGATACTGTATTGACCAAACCAGCAGGAATCATACCGATTCCTAGCTCTTCTCATGGAACCACTACAAGGTAAGGAAGGACTATTTATTATGCAAAAGAGCATGTGAATGATCTGTAGCCCTCAGTATATATTTTTATTAAGAATTTTCTTGCTCAGATATGACAAAATACCCATTTATAAACTATCAAGGGCTCATGTGGGAGAGGGGAGCGGGGAGGGAGGGGAAAAATGAGGACCTAATGTCGGGGGTTTAAATGGAGAGAAAATGTTTTGAGAAATGATGTACAAATACGCTTTACACAATTGATGTGTGTATGGATTGGGATAACAGTTGTATGAGCCCCTAATAAAATGTTTAAAAATTAAAAAAAAAAAAAAAAAGAATTTTCTTGCTCATAAAGCATTGTTGTTAAGTGTCATTGAACTGGTCCTGCCTCATAGTGACCCCGTGTACAACAAAATGAAACACTGGTCATCTGCAGCATCCTCATGATTGTTCTTATCTTTAAGCCCATTATTGCAGCCACCGTGTCAGTCCGTTTTCTCCAGAGCATTTCTCTTATTCGCTGCTCCTCTACCAAGCATGACGTCCTTCTCCAGGGACTGCTCTCTCCTGATAATGTGTCCAAAGTGCGTGAGATGAAGTCTCACAGTCCTAGCCTCTAAGTAACATGCAGGCTGTACTTCTGCCAAGACGGAGTTGTTTGTTGTTCTGGTCGTCAATGATATTGTCAATATTCTTTGCCAGTACCGTAATTCAAATGCATGGATTTTTCTTCAGTCTTATTCAATATCCAACTTTCACATTCATAAGATGCAATGGAAAATACCATTATTTGGGTCAGGTGCACCTTAGTCACCAAAGTAAACTTGCTTTTCAACAGTTTTAAAAAAGGCCTTGTGTAGTAGATTTACCCAATGCAGTATGTCCTTTGATCTCTCTCTCTTTAAAAAAAATCATTTTATTGGGGGCTCGTACAACTGCTATCACAATCCACACATACTTCCATTGTGTCAAGCATATTTGTACAGTTGTTGCCATCATTTGAGAGTGCTCCAAATGTCCTTAGCTTTCAGCTATCAAGGATTTGACTTGTGGGTTTATGAGACTTAGCTTTGGGAGCATGCGGTTTGCTCAGTTAGTCCAAGCAGGCACTCGGATCCACTTCTCAAACTACTTGGCTTTGTTCTCTGCTCACGTGCCACAGTGTTGACACTGTCTTTCACTGGCTTTGTGAGGGGAACCACCTAATGTGGCATTTTGAAGGATATACCAAAAAAAATGCCTACAGGACTTCGGACACATCCGCTCAATGTCATGTGCCAGTTCACTCCTTTCTGCACTGAAGGCAACAATACCTATTTCTAATGATTGTGAACCTTATGTGAAATGACGTTAATACATACGAGCAGCAAAATGATGTTGAGTTGCAGCTATTGGAGTGAGTTAGTGAGCTCACAATTGGTGAGTTGAAGTCAAAGAACTTCAGTGTATCTTTCAAAAAGAAAAAAAAGGTAGGTTTAAAAAAACAAAAAATGTCAGCCAAACCCTTTGTCAATATACACAAGAGACCATGTATAAGACAACCAAAGGACTCTTGATAGCATGAATAAAAATACACAGCAGCATAGATGTTAATGACTTTGTTGTAGACTAATACCATATGCAAGAAGTGGCTTGGTATCTTGATCATTGTATTCATTGTTCTCCCTTTTGGCCACAAGGCTGTGTAGAATTAAATCTGATACCAGATGGCTCTGCCGAGATCACATCTCCCAATTATCCCAACATGAACCCCAACCGGCTGAACTGCACTTGGACTTTCTATTCAGTATCAGGATGTAGAATGAAGGCAGTGCTTGAAGACTTCATAAGAAAATAATCCAGACCTGTGGAGATTATTTTGATGTTTTTGATGGGCCAAATCAGAAATCTGGATTACTTGGTAAATTGGCCTTTCTTAAATGACCTATTTTAAGTGGCACCAAGGGTTTACATAATGCATGAGCAAGGACCGCATGACCTCTGTCTGCCTTAGGAACAATGTCCTTTGTTGTTAGTGCTTTCTAACCAGATGCTCCAGCAGAGTATGATTGAGCAAATGACAGGAGGATGAGCTCACACTCACCAGACTGACTTCTAATCCCAGCTTTTAAAAATTTTCATCCTGTGATTTTTATCTCTTTTTGCCATTGGGGCCACTGTAAATTTGTTTGTTTTTTTTCATAGGTCAGATGTTTTAAGGGGTTTCATTTTCTAAACATGTTTTAAGTAACAAAAGTTTAATTATTTTTAATTTTACTACTATACTAATTAAGGTGGTCTATGGAGCCCTAGTATCATAGTGGTTATGAGTAGGATTGTTAACCAGAAGGTCAGCAGTTCAAAAGCACCAACCACTCCTCTGGAGCAAAAGGAGGCTTTCTATTCCCATAGAGTTACCAGGTCAGAAACTCCCAAAGTCATTCCTACTCGGTCCTATAGGGTTGCTATGAGTCAGCATTGACTCAATGGTAGGGAGCTTGGTGACACACACACAATGGTAGTGAGTTTGGGTTTTGTTTCATTTGAGTGCTTATACATTGTTAACTTGTAAGAACTGCAGTTTGAAACTACCAGCAGATCTGCAGGAGAAAGATGAGGCTTGCTACCCCCATAAAAATTGGTCTCAGAATCCCATAGGGGCAGTTATACCCCGAGCTACAGGGTTACTAAGATTTGAAATTCGACATTGAGTTTGGATTTTGATTTGTTTTAGACTAGCTAGACTATCATAAATTTTAAAAGGGAAAGAAGCCAGTTGGTTTAAATAATCTTTGGGAGTTAATTGGACAGGTGTTTGGGGGGCAGGGAATGTCCTCTCCTGAGACTGACTCACAGAGAGAAATTTTCCAAGATTTTGTCAGCTTGTACTACATCATCTTTTGTCTCCACCCAGTCCTGCCCCTCAGGCTAACACTGCAAAACAAACAAGAGGATTTGGGATCTGTCCTTTTCCAGGGACCTTGACCTGGCCTGTGATATTTCAGGGTTTATACTACCAGTAAATTTAGCATTTTTATTTGAATATCCAGAGTTTCCTAACTTAGTGAGTTTGCTTCTTACTAGGGATTCTAAAATAATTAGACAGCAGGGAAGGTAAGATACAAAATGCCGTGTTATTCATTCTCCTTAAGATAAATATGAAATCTCTCTAGTATCAGACCCTGCACCTAACTTTTGTCACTCCCCTTTAACCGAAGACCCCTGGGACATTAAACAAGCTAGGTTTCTGGCTTGTTGCAGAGTGAGAAGCCAGACCTGATGGGGGCAATGGGCAGTTGAGTAAGCTTTGGTTTGAGTAGAGAAGGTCTAAGGAAATAGACTTTGCTTTGGATTGATACTGCCGGGATGAAATCATGATTGTGGAGCTCACTCCTAGGGAAGGCCCACTAGAGGAAGGATATGATGTTAATTAATAGTCATTTATTTTACCTAACAGCGAAAGGTTTAGTAGTCCAGCGCTGACTCCCCTACACCTCCAGTGCCCCTCAGCTTTTTTTACCCTTGATATTTCCAGATCTCTCCCCTCCCATTGTTGTCATCAAGTCATGGATTCTATCCTGCATGTCATGCCTTTGTTAATATTGGCAGGTCTCCCTCTTTGAGCTTTCCTATGGCACAGCAGAAGTAATTATTGGATATTTCTCACACTGTAGCTCATGTATGTATGTGGCTCTAAAGAAGAACTTGACATGATCTCCGGTGGTGCTTACCTGACTCTGTATTTTAAGACTGATGAGTCTGTGGGAGAAAGAGGTTTCAAACTTACATTAGAAGAGATGAGTCGGAAGCCATCAAAAGCAAGCAGCACTGGGACACAATGGCCCATGAGGGATATGTTTGTAAAAAAGTAAAAGGTAACATGTAAGATCTGAATTGGAACCTGGGAGACCAGTGTTTTATGTGTGAATACCTTGCCAGGAGCCCTGGTGGCAACGTGGTTATGTGTTGGGCTGGCAACTGTGCAAGGTCAACAGTTCCAAACCACCAGGGTTTCATTCTGTTGCACAGAGAATCGCTTTATCAGCACCAACTTGATAAAAACCACCCTGCCCTAATACTAAATGAAGCACTGCTTTTAAAGTATCAGAGTTGGGTAGTGTCTAAGAGGATCATCTAAGATAATAAAATTATTAGATGTGCATGTGCATTATTTTTGTTTAAGAAATAATGCTAAGCACTAGAAGTCAATCACTTGTGGACTTGCAGTAAAGATCTTCAAGCCAGTTTAAAATATATGAAATTGAGGTTGGTAGTTGAACTGAATTTTCCATAAAATTGGTACATTATAAAACAAATGTAGACTTGTCCGTTTCCATACCCTTATTATCTCCTGGTTCACAAAGGCTCCAAAGGAGAATGTTTTTGTTGAATATGTGTTAACTTTCTGTATACAACAGGAACAACTTGAATGATTTTCCTATCTACAAACCTCCTTTTGAGCCAGAATCACATCAGCTGTAATTAAAACAATAAAATCGAATGAATTTTTTTTGTGGGAGATTTTCTTGATTAGGGTGTAATTCTAAGGAGAATTCTAATAGCCACTTTGCAAAGAAAAATTCTTCTCGAAGTCTGTTTGTATTAAGTGGACAGAGTGAAGGACTCAGTGGAACAGTCCGTAATCAGAGCCATAGAAGAGCCACATCCTCCTGTAGGTGGTGAGGCTTCGAATTGTTTAGAACGGCTCTCCTAATGGACCTGCCTTTCATCTCCATTTCTTTCATTTTTCCAGCTCGATGTCTCTAAATAGACCTTTGACACGCTTGATTAATACTTAGACTGCCTTATTTCTTTCTGTGCAAGAATATTGAATACTAAAAAAGTGGCTATTATACACATATTCAAATACCTCACAAGCCTGAGTGACCCCATGACTTTTAGAAATGTTTATAATAGTTTTATATATAAATTGAAAACTTTCATATATAATTATATTACACAATTTAGAATTTATATAATACATTTAGATCTTATAACATATTTATATAATAAATACATATGTATTTATATAATACATACTAT